TTTTTCTTTCAAAAATGACCTTGGCTCCCAGGTCGACCCAGCCTTGAGTGGGTACCAGGTGCAGTCCCGAGAAGTAAAGGCGCCCGGCGTGGTGCTGACCAAGCATCCACCAAGTGCCGTTTGGTCGATAAAATAAAGGTCTAGTCCTATACAGCCAATACACCTGAAGACGTGGAAAAAGGTCCTTCATTCACTCTGGGAAGTATATTCTGGGAGGACGAAAGAATAGGAAATATGAATAAGATGCCAATAAGCCAGTTCAGGTATATACCAGCTGACACCGTTATTAAGAAATCCAAACATAAGTATGAGCGCTAAGAAACAGATTATAAACAGCATTTTCATACCAATACTGTGCTACTAGTACCAGACTTGGACATTATCAAAGGTTATTTCAGTTCACTAAAATATCCGTCATCCCCTAATAGGATGCAATTTTTCGTTATTTAAAGCCCCACCCTGGCTCTTGCCAGGAGTCGCACTATAGCCTAGCTATAAATATGGCATAATGGCTGAACGCAGTTCCGGAGACCTCTCCACTGATGATCCTCATACGCATGGTGGAACTTGTGTCATCGGGTGTTTATCGCTTGTGTTATGTCCTGGTGGGGTAATATGTACTACTACTACTACTGCTACTACTACTACTACTACTACTACTACTACTACTACTACTACTACTACTACTACTACTACTACTACTACTATTACTACTACTACTACTACTGGTAATCTGGTAATCTGGTAATCCTAGTTTCAGCTTCATAGCAAACGGGTCACCCCACACATGCTCCGCTCCTGTGCCAACGAAAAACAAACGCAGCTCACAGTGTCACGCCATGCACTCAACTCAGAAGCTGGGCGACGAAACTACATCCTTCCAGTCTACAAATGGAGCAAAAATGCAACGGCCACCGTCTGGAAAAATATTTGCCACGGCATTTAAAAAAAAAAAAAAAAAAGGTGGCCGTACCTAGCGTCCATTTTGACCGGAAGAATTATATGAGGGTTAATAAACGGTCACCCCAGCAGTACCCTCATTATTAGCTGGGGAAGGGACTTAGGACATTACATCCACCAGCAGGCGTCACCCCTACAACGACCTGCCTGCCCTCGTTAACGACTGTTCACCCAACAGCCATGCAGTTCTTTGGCACGAAGGAGACACCTTGAACTTGGGTTTCGTACTGCCGACTCCCTACTAAGATGTTATTTTATGTTCTGTTATCACAATTAATGTCACTGCACATTGGGCATACCCATGCGTGCTCAGTTCTCCGAAGCAGCAGCCACTCCAAAGCACTTCTACTAATTGTCCCCATGAGAAGCTGGTTATATTGTCTCCTTTCTCGGCCTCGAAGACGGCAAAGACGTGCATCACCATGCTTAACTCCCATGTCGCGCAATCGTGTTAGTGTCAGGGATTCCTCATTCTCCACTAGCCCGGTTCGTACAGCGTTGACTATGTCTGCTCTGTCCATACTTTTTCCTGCAATCATTAGTGCAGTGCTTGCCAGTTGGTCTGCTCGTTCATTTCCCTTCACGCCCGCATGGCCCGGTGTGTAGATCCAGGTTACGGAGGTTAAGTGCGATTTCCTGATGCTTTCTATCCATTCAGAGCGCATGCTGCCTGTTGCTATCTTCTGAAGCATATTCATTGAGTCTGAGACAATTACTACCTGTGTGGCGGTTTGCTCGGATACCCATGCTAAAGCTCTAGAAGCAGCGGCTATTTCCATTGTCATGCTTGACGTGGTTGTCTGGTAAGCGCCGCTGTCCTCATGTATTGTTTTCCCCTTTCTTTGCGCTGTGTATGCCCATGCTGACCTTGATCCGCGCTTCACAGATCCATCTGTGTAGATGATGGTATCTTCTGGGTCTGAATGCTGATCTATCAGTTCCCTTACTTCTGTGTCTACCGCCGCGGGAATTTGATCCCTGCAGTACCTTCCGAGTGTGATGACAACCTTAGAAATGCCATGCATGTCTACTGGTGTATTCGTCCATTCTTTTCCGTGGCTGATCACGTCTAGGTCACATACCTGCTGGATTAAGTCCTCAGCCTTTGCCATCCAAGAGCGGCCCCTTTTGAGACGCGTTCCTTTTGTGTCGTGAATAGCTTTGTGTAATGGGTGGTTAACATCTGCCGATACCCTCATGTAAGCCTTGACCTGTGCCACTTTGTATCTGCTTGTCATAGTCGGCAGACCCAGGATATAACGCATGGCGTTGCAGGAGGTGTCTTTTGTGCAGCCGAGTATGAGTCTCATGGCCTCATTCTGTACTCGGTCCAGTCTTTCTAGCTGGGTTTTGCTGACAGTGAGGAGGCCGAGACCATAGTCAATGACGCTAAGCACAAGCCCTTGATAGAGAAGGAAAAGTAGACGTTGTTCAATATCAGCTGCTGCTAGCACCTTGAGTGCTGTCAAACCTTTCCTGGCTCTAAGTATGACGTTGTCTACGTGGCATTTGTATGACAAGCATCTGTCAAATGTCATGCCCAGGTATTTCATGGTGTCCGTTCTCTCGATGTCCACACCACAGATGCTTACGACTGGCGTTGGTGTACTCACGATGTGGGTATTCAGAGAGAACCATGTTAAGGAGGCTTTGGACGGGTTCACATGAGCTCTTGATTCCTGGCACCACTCACTAAGTCTGTCTAGTTCGTGTTGTAGTGTGGTTGTAATTTCCTGCCTGTTTTTACCTCGACGGTACACAAGGATATCATCTGCATACGACATTGTTCTGCCTAGGCCTACGCGTTGTGCACTAGTGACTCCTGCTGTGTACACATTGAAGAGCACAGGCGACAATGGTGATCCCTGGGGCAGACCCATTAGGACGCGTTGAGGTTCGGATGCCCATTCACCACATCGAAGCGACACTGTTCTTTCAAATAGCGCTGCTGCGATCCAGTTGACCAAATTTGTTTCTATCTGCATATCCAACAGCAGTCTGATGAGCATGTTGTATGGGACGCTGTTGTAAGCATCTTCTAAGTCAATAGCGGCTGCAGCCGTTTCTATTCCCTCCTGGAAACCTTCGTATGTGTCGTAGGCAAATACTGCAGCATTGCACCATGTATCTCTTCCTGGTCGGTAGCCACCGAGTGTAGCGGGGAAATGGCCACCCGACTCCAATATTTGGGTTAACGTTCTGGCAACGATTTTTTCCATGAGTTTTCCTACAGTGTTCTGGAGTGTGATGATTCTGTAGCCATTTATTCTCGTGTGGTCTTTTCCTGGCTTAGGAACCGGTCTGAGGTAGCTGTGGAGCCAGTCATCAGGAATAGTGCCAGTTTTCATGGTGTTGTTAAAAATCGTGGACAGTTCATCAATATCTGTCGCCTCGAGGCTTTTGAAGTGGCTGTATCTAATGCCATCAGGCCCTGGAGCTGTGTCCGGACAGGTCTTCAGTGTTGCTCTGATGCAGTCCGTTGAGATGTATACTGTATCATCGACTTCCTCCATTTCAGCCATCTGGATATCATATAAACTCTGTCTTATCTACTACTACTACTACTGTTAATTATCAAAGGTTAACCTACGTAAAAATAACATCTGTGAAATGAGATTTTCCTCTGTATATCCTGATAACAAAATAAGTTTCACCTGAATTTAGCATACTTTTCCGGTCCATCTAGTTTCACATAATCCTAAAATACCAATCCTATAATGCATCACTTCCCTTAATATAGTTCCATTGTTCTTTCTAAACCGTACAAAGTTCTAACATTCCAGGTGCCAGTTCTGGAGCTTCTGCTAGGCGAAAGGAGGTACGTCGACAATCCGGTCTCCTGTCGGCTTTCTCAACGCCGTGGTATACTTCTTCTAGTTTTTAAAAATAGTAGAACATTATAGGGAAGAGAAAAAGTTGGTAAGAAACAAAAAATAATTTATGTTAGCTTTACAAAATCGATCAGAATAAACAAACAAAGGACGTTGCAGCGGTTAGCCTTCATCAGCACATAAAGGACAACACAGTACACATACACAAATATGAAGGCCGCAAGTACATTAACTGTTTGTGTCCCATGCCAGAACAGACATACAGCAAGTGATCGTCGATATACTTCTACAGGAGGAGCCTCCTCTCATCTTGGCTGGATGGGTTTTTCTTGTTGCTCTTTTTTTTACTTCTCCATGGTGGGTTGGTTGGTTTGCGTGGCTATTGTTTTTACAGGATGAGGTAGCCAACCTCAAGCCAAGCCCTACTATTGGTCGCCTCTTACGACAAGCATGGTAGAGTGCAGTTTTAATAGTCTTTGCTTTCTGTGAGGGACCCGGTGACACACGGGCGTTAAAATGATTTACTGTCTCTAATTTGTGAACTATAACGTGTATTGATTGGTGGGTTTTCCGCGTTTTATCTACGCCGTCTTTGATTGATGTTTCATCAAGTAAGTTTACGAGTTAGAACTAGCTCTTGTTCTTAGCCGGCCCAACCCATTGATTCACCTAGAAACCTTAAATGGTTCGTTCATCCTATACTAACCGTTCCTTGATGTTTTAGTAGGTAGGATGTCAGTCATACTTTTTCTAAGAACATATTAACTCAGTGTTGGGGATAGGAGGTAGCCATGTCGGACTCCTACTGTTGTTCGGAACCAGTTCCTTATTTCTCCTGTCAATGTGTCAGCACCAATGGCTCTGACATAAAGCTGTCCCATACTACTTATGATGGTTTTACCCATATTGTGCTGTGACTGTGATGTCAATTCTTGACTCAACTCAACTCAGTTGTTGGGGGGCACATTCTCAGCATCTTCTGGCGTCAATCTAAATCCAGCCGCAGTCGTAATTTCTTGGATACTATACTCTAATAATGTCTTATCCTCTTGATTCAATCAATATTTGATTGTACCATGTTACTGCCGCTTTAGGTCAATCTGTCCGCTGTTTCATTGCCTTCCAATCCACAGTGACCTGGAATCCACTGCCGTACAGACTGTTGATTCCAAGTTTTTATACAACCGTGACAACATTGAGTGAGACGATATGGCGGGCCACTCGCTGGTAGAACTGCCAGCACAAACAATCAGGTTGCTGGGTAGCGGACAGGTTATCACCAGCGTTTACAGTGTGGTCAAAGAACTAGTTGAAAACTCTTTTGATGCTGGTTGCACGTCAATTGATATTAAATTGGTATTTATTTGCTAAGGAAATTTACGCATTTTTTAAAGTTTAGTTTATAAAAAGTATAATTTGTGCATGATGACAGAGGAGGGCTATCCTCCGAATAACTGTCCACATTATCGAGGCCGGAAAAATACCCTGACAGAGCCTTAGTCATATGTAAATTCGGGATTTTTTCCCGCCGATGTGAATTCCGGATTTTTTTTTCCGGTGAATAAACCACTGCAAAAGTAGGATAAATTGCGAACGAAAATTTCGCGAAACGCAACAATAGACCCATCCGAGAGTATCCCCGGTGCCGCTACGCGCGGCGTGGAAGGGGCTAATCTAGATGACTGGGACTCACGAGCTGCAGCTACCACTTCTCATGCAGCTTCCTCCATTTTATTTGCTCATGAGTACCAGCCATCTAGTTTAGCCCCTTCCACAGTAGAGCGCCACGGCTCTCCTCCGAACTTCTAACCCCGCATTACGGCCCCAACAAATATCCTTACGGGGCTCAGTCCTATAAAAAATATGCAAACTTCCCGCGACGAACGAATCGCGGCAAAACTAGGATCAGCTCCGTATAACGCCGCATAGCGGCGCGGATGGGAGTAAACTAGATGACTGGGACTCACAAGCAGCAGCTACCGCATCTCCTGCAACTTCCTCCAATTAATTTTCTCATGAGTCCCAGTCATCTAGCAGGGGATACTGTCGGCGGTGAGTGTAACCGCGTTTTGCGCATGTAGAAAAGTTTGATGACAACAACGACGCTAATCTGCGTCGGCGCTTGTGGTCTCGCCGCTATGTGGCTTTTATCGTCAGTAATGTTGCATGTCTCGAAATTGTCAATGGTCACTAGTATCGTTTGCTAGTATCGTCTGCAGAAATGCTCAAAAGTGTCAACGGTCGCTATTATCATCTGCTACTATTGTCTGCAGTTTTGCGTCTCTTGAAATTGTCAGGTAATCCTAATTTTGCCGCAATTCGTTCGTCGCCGGAAGTTTTTTATATATCTGAGCTCCGTAAGGATATTTGTTCGGCTGCCGTAATGCCGGGGTAAAAGTTCGGAGGAGAGCCGAGCGCCACACTGGCCGTTGCTGGTTTGAAGTTGTCCCGAGGCGAGATGCGCCTACATTAGAACGCGTCATCACTCATCATGTGTAGCCCGGAACGAGAATTGTGACTGACGCTTGGCGTGGCTACACAGACAGTGACGGTCACACGCAAACTATTGAGGGGCTGTTGATGCTGTTAAATCAAAGATTGCGCTACCAATCGGGGACAAGCCGCGCCCTGTTCGCATCTTATTTGGCGGAGTTCCAGTGGCGGCACAGCCACAAAGCGCAGATATTCGGACACTATTTGCAATTTCTGTGCCACAATTTTCACACATAAAGGACTTAATTATCAGTAAGTAGTAGACTTCGTCTTTTTCCTGATCCTTTGTGTTCCTTATATTTTCCGAGTTAGAACTTTTAAATGTTTGTAGCAGACGTAATGAGGCTCTGTTAAGGTATATTTCCGGCCTCGATAATTTGGGACCTTTGTTCGGAGGATAGCCCAGAGGAGAAATGGTATATACATATATCGACTATAATCATCAGTGACTGCACCGGTTCTTTGATAACCCATGCTTTTCCTGTCTGCTGACAATATGACATCCTCTTATTCTTCTTCTTGTAACGACTCCATTGCTTTCAACCACCTTATATGCCTCATTAGACAGTCAGGATAAAGACGACTTCCACCATAGGAGGGCCCAGGAAAGGATGGACCTTCTGGATTCGACTTCGAGGTTACCCTGAACACATTTTATCTGCTGCCGATTTATCGATCACAGTCGATCAGTTGTGCTGAGACCCACACTTCCAAGCTTAAATAACCAAGAAATACTTGAACGGTTAAAGAAAGAGAACCCAAGACTCAAAATGACCAAAGCGATTTTCTATTCCAAGCATAACTCTCCACCTGTTGCAGTGATCATACCAACAGAGGGCGATGACATACCAGACACAGTCTTCTTAGATCAGAGACTACAGGGACCAGAGCAGTATATCCCACAAGTGCTCTAATGCTCCTGATGCAAGAAAGCATGATATTCAAGAGCATCATGCCAAAGCAGAGAAGAGTTCTTCCGTTACTGTTCAAAGCCACACCCTTCCAGTGACTGCCCACTAGCAAAAGAAAACACCCATTTCCATAAACCCAGCCCTAACAAAACCTACAGACTGTTCCAAATAGCATGGAGTCAAATATTTAGGATGTCCTTACCTCCAGCAGTGCAGATATATCACTATCACTACTGTAAGAGAAAAGAAGCCCATATCAAGAGGCCGCAGGGAACATAAGGCGCTCATGGGCATAGCTGCAGCAGATACAGCAAAACTTGATAACAAGATAGCATGACTGAAGAAGGAGATCCAGTCCCTTAGAGATGAGAAAGTGGCAGAAGAAGACCAAAGAGCACAGGAAGGAGAAGAGATGATAGAGAAAAGGAGTACCATGAGAGCATCACTTGAGATCCAAAGATGATTGGAAGCTGAAATAGCTGGTATGGTACAATTGAAGAAAGGCGTCAGGGCCATAATGATCGATATTCAGACTCGGAAGGTGCAGCAAGCACAAAACATAACCAGGGACCCAAGATCATCTGTCAAAGAAGAGAAGAAAAACCTCAAAGATCTAAAGGAAGCTCGGCAGCAACTCTCACTCCAAGGAGCCACAATCAGAGAGGCTATGGCAGAAACAGAAGCAAAACGAGTAAAACAGGAAAAGGAATGACTACACAATGAACTACAAGTGACAAGAAATATGATAGAAGCTAGAGAAAATGCGGGCAGACATAAGGAGACAGTGCACTGTTGCAGACATGAATGCCGAGGTAAGAAGTCAAAAAGAAGAAAGCGTACACAAAAAGTCTGGAATTCAAACAACAAGCAGGGGAATCAAAATAGTCCTTATAAGAACAAACAGGTATCTCACAAAAAAACAACAAAAAACAGTGGAAAACAAGCAATCTTCGGTCAGACAATGGCAGCAAAATATACCCAAGCGTCCAGTAAAAAACGCCCAAATAGCACAACCTTGACAGTTGCCCAGCCAATTTACTGAAACCCGCCAGCGCAAGATACATCATGTGCATGATGAAACAGCAGAAAACAGACAGCCAATGAAAATCTCCCTTAGAACAACCCAACAGCGCAAGACCAGACAGGCATGCTGCACTGCTGAAGAGAGAGACAACACAGATACAAACTCAATAAAATTAAAATCGGCTATGTCACCACAAATATAAATAAAACGGGTGGAGTGCAGCCTTCCCCAGCCCTATGTTGAACGTGATCATCGTCAAACAAACAAGCCTGGAACATTGAGTTCTCATACAGGAGACCTGAGTAAGAATCCTCTGTAAGATGATTGAAGGTCTTTCTGTTGGGAGCAAAAATAAACATCCTAATGTCCACAGTTTGTGGCAGCTGTGCTAACTATGCAGCCCTAAATATTAAAGCTCTTCCCCCCCAACCCAAATCCTGGTGCTACACAGTCCTAAAAATTATAAATACTGGCAGTAAATACACTTTTGTTTGTATATTAGCAACAAAATAATGAGCCGGGTAATTATAGGGGGCTAAAGTTAGCAATACAGAAATCACCAGAATGTCACATGGTCAATGAGGGACTGGAAATGTGTCAGAAAAACTCTCTGTAGCATTTATAATAAGCAGCATAGATGAAAATTAAAAGCACAAACTGTATAAAATAAAATCTCTCTGTTCTTACATCCAACAGAACATTGAACTTTAAATAGAAAGAAGTTTGATGGGTTTCCATACTCTTATTGGATTTGCCCCCTTTGTATCGTTCACTGTCTTTTTCTTCTGCCTTCTATCCCCAAGTGAAGCATAGGCCATCAACCAGCTTATGGCAAGTCGTTCTGTCCTTCGCTATTGCATGCATTTCTCCTCCTCTTTTTAACTTCACCGTCTAGCTTCCGTCTCCATGTTTTTTTTTTGGGTTCTTCCTTTATTTCTGTTGTTTTTCAATGTGTGTCCTATCCAAGGGTAATGTCTTTTCTTCACCTGTTGCTCCACTGGTACAAATTAAGTTCTCTCCCTGAGCTCTACATTAGTAATTCTATAATATTGTTTGAAGTGTTGACTGTATTTTATATTATGTGTGAATTTATCTTACATTTCTAAATAGTCTTCACAATGAAGGTTGCCTGCAGTGCAGCTACTGCTGTCTTTGGAAATATTACATGGAGAGACCTCAATCTGTCATACTATATCCAAAAACCAATTAATTATATTGTTTAAAAAGAAAATGAAATTAAAGTGTGTAAGAGCTCAAAGGTAAATCGTGCATAATACAGGAAACCTCTGCTGATAAAACTGAACTCTTCTGATTTGTGTAAACAGAATGATCATGTGATAAATTTGAAGTTACCATAGTAATTACATGGCTATTCTTGAAATTCCATTGAAGAGATATATATACAACTTGACAATGTGATTTGTGTTTTTTGCGAAAAGGATTCATTTTTATGCTTCATAATATGTTAATTTAACTCTGTAGTAATTCACTTGACAAGATACAATGAAATATACCAGGCAATCAATTGTGCAATGTATTGTTTATGACCGCATTATTTAAACATGAATAAATGTTTAACACTTTATTTATATTCCATAAGGAAGGTTACGGTTTGGAAAAAATAGAAATCTGTGACAATGGACATGGCATTAAAATTCAGGATATCCCATATGTGGCTAAAAGACATTACACATCTAAACTAGTTACTGCTGAAGACATGCAGTCCTTGGAGACCTACGGATTCAGGGGCGAGGCCTTAGGTAAGTTGTATAGTTACTGCATGTAGTTACGGTATAAGCTAGAAGTTACCCTAATGTAACTTCTTAAAAGGTTCAATGCCGTATCTGAGATCTGCTCTGTTGGATTGTCATCCAAGATGCGCTTCTTTGATTTTTAGGGGTGGTCGAACCTTTATGTCACAAACCAGAGGGAAGAAACAGACTTCTTCTCTTCATACATTTACTTTATCAAAGTATTGTGGGGAAAGAAAGGGGGGGGGGGGGGGTGTAAGAATATTCTGTGTGCTATTTCTAATGCATTGTATAAGTTTGTCTTCATTTATTTAAAGATGTTCTTAATGCCGTCTCATGTGATCTTTTACAATTTCTTCTCTTTGCTCTATGTTCATTATATTTCTTTAATGTGGCTCTCTGCGGGAATTCGTATAAAACAGACCAGCGAGGTTTAAACACAGGACTACCATTGTTACACCAGCACACTAACCAAGACTTCACAATGTTCTTACTGTATATTTACTGACATTAAATTATTCCAAATGATCTTACTATACAGGCTATGTCAACTGACACATTTCTTCTTCTTCTTCTTCTTCTTTTTCTTCTTCTTCTTCTTCTTCTTCTTCTTCTTCTTCTTCTTCTTCTTCTTCTTCTTCTTCTTCTTCTTCTTCTTCTTCTTCTTCTTCTTCTTCATGTTCAATGGCTGTAAAGTCTAGCAGACAATTTTTGGTTGTTTATCCACTTCTGGACTTTGGTCTTGTTCAAGAAACTGAGTTTTACAGATCTGACTTATTTTTATGGAGACTGTTGGTCCCTCACCTCTAAGGCATATGCAATCCAACTTAACAGATGCATGCCTAATTAGTAGATTTTTACGACTTGCTTGTTAAGGAACAGTCGGTCTATTCTTCCTTCCAAAAAGAGGCCCTGGAACCCAAACTGAGAACTAATAAAATGTATGTTTCATTCCTGCCCATATGAGCTCATTGAGGTGAAAAAATGTGCAGATTTTGCTTTGTAGAACTAAATACAAGATCACTGTTACAGTCCCTTGGCTAGGGCACCTTAGTTTCTTTTTAGTACCAATTTTATTGAAAATTCTTCTTACTGGCAGTTCAAACTACAGTGGAGAGATGTTCAACAGCTTTTGAAGCAATGTAGCATTGAACATTGGCATCCTTTATTCACTTATTTAGTTTTAGTTGGCCTCTGGGGACTATACAGTTGTGCTACTAGGCACACGCCTGATAGCGCCACTGGCAGCTGTATAATTTGATGCTAGAGTGACAGTCTCAGTCCCAGTTTCTGCATCTGTGAGAAGAGGGATGTCCTGCAGCAAGTAAGTGCGTTTGATACTTTTTCCTCTTGTTTTCAGTTGTTGGATCAGACTGCGCTGAAAGAGTACCAGTCCATTTCACACATCTCTCCAGGAATTTCAGTCTGCTACAACTTCCTCCCATGTTTCTTTATCTTTGCCAAGAGTTTTCTCATACTGTTTACAGACATGCTTACATCATATTTTGGTTGGCTACTTCCCTGTGGCTAGTTCTTCCTAATTTACTCATTTACCCAGCAGAGAAAAAAAACATCTAAGAGTTGAACAGCACAGGAATATCCTGTACATGAGAATTTGGGTGAGATTGAAGGGTACTGGCTGAAGAGAATGATTGTCCCTTGGAGGACTGAGCCAGAAGATACTATAAGGCATGTCTAGGGAAATAACAAAAATAGTGTATGATGAGGAATGGGCATTCTTGTATCTGTAGAGTCATGTTTATTTGTTGACAGCCTCCTTATGTTCTGTGTCACAAGTGACCATTGCCACAAAAACAGCAGAGGATGAAGTTTGTCACATATATGATGTCGACAGTGAAGGCAACATTAAAGGAAAGAAACCTTCTTGTCTTGGAACAGGTATGTTAAAGTTCATTCAGGTTGGTCAGAATTAGATATGTCAAGAACTAGACTTGTTTCTTTAATGTTTAGATTGTTTGTGACCTGAGAACTGCTCATTTTTAATTTATTAGGGAATTTTTTTTCTGTTTAGTTGTTTGTTGATGGAGGCTTTGGTCTAAACATTTGGTTGTATGTTTGCATCTTGTCTTTCCTTTAATTTAGCTTCTGAATCATTTCTGGAGTTTATTTAGTTAAAAAATAAAGGCCCCAATTGGGGGGGGGGGGGGTGGGTGGGGGGGGGGGGGGAAGAGACTTATTGCATTTTTTAAAAAGCATGTCGTAAAGGGCCACTGATTAAGGGTTTACTGAAATCAGATGTTTTAGGCCCAAAGCTGCATATGTCTAAACAAATGCCTTCTCCAGCTGACGGGCCAAGTGACAGTTTCGCTGAGCTGTGCAGCGTGGGTGAACGTGAGTTTTTCGGAGTGAAATGAAAAGAGTTACTGACTTTTACGTGCTCTCTATTTACATTCTCAAAATAGGCTGTAGTGAAGTGTTAAGTGTTATTAGGTATGCCTGCGAAGTGTTCAGTGCCTCGAATTATCGAATTATGATACTTCCAGTGGATATGTGAATGTGTTTAAATTTTCTTCGGATGCTTAGAAGAGAAAGATATATATATATATATATATATATATATATATATATATATATATATATATATTTATATATATATATATATATATATATATATATATATATATATATATATATATATATATATATATATATATATATATATATATATAAGATTATTTTTTAGGATTTCAAATATCGAGACAAGGCAGGCATGGGAATTGTTTAGGATTTCACACATATATACAGGTTTATAGTTCTGTGATGAGAGCTCATAAATTACTTTCCCTATCTCAGTTTTCCTACTCTTTATATATATATATATATATATACACATACATACACACAAACACACACACTTCCCAAGTCGGCCCAGTCTTAAACGGGTACCAGATAAAAGTCATGGGAAGTAAAGGCAGTAGGCGTAATGCATCACCCACCAAATGCTGATTAGTTTATAAAATATAAGTCTATCGCTGTATGCTTAATATGCTTAAAGGTAAGGAAAGGGGTACTTTACTTTTTACTTGTACACATTTACACGCACACGCAAGCACACACACACTTACTTTTCTAAAATATTTAACATTTTTGTCAATTTGATACTTTTATGCAGGCACCACTGTGACAGCTCGTAATCTGTTCTTTAACCTACCAGTAAGAAAGCAGTTTTACTATGGCTCTCAGCGTAAAAAGGAAGATTTGAAAAAGATTGAAGATCTTCTCATTGTTTATGGCATCATCAGACCTCAAATGAGAATCAGTCTGAGGCATGATCGGGATCTTGTGTGGCAGAAAATACAGACAAGTGATACAAAAGGGGCCATACAGTCTGCTCTTAGTCGCCAAGTTTTCAGTCAGCTGATCTGTGTAGAAAAGTCAATGGAGGAACAGCAGGTATACTTACTGCACTTTTGGGAAGTAATCATTTACGTATCTGAATAGATTATTATAATAATGAACAAATACACACAAACAAACATATGTTTATGTAGATGGGGAAGGGAGAAGGGACTGATATTTATACATTGAAAATAATAATAATTCAGGTTTTATGAGCTGATATAGTTTGAAGAAGAAAAATATTGATCAAACTTAATAATATTCAGTCGTCTGATATAAGAAATTTATTTAATTTTCTTACATACTTTGCAGATGTTAAGTTAGATATCAGTTTAACTTTCATTTTTTTTATTGGCTGCTGAGTATGGGGACGGAGTGTCAGTGGGAATTCCCCGAGTGCTGGGATGTCAAGTCTTGACTCAACTCAACTCAACCCAACAGCTTTTACTTTCATAGAAAGTGGTAGTAACATTTTAAGGTTGTTACCTAGTTGAAATAGACAGCAAAATGTCTAGTCATCATCCCCAGGACTTGAAAAATTTCTTTGTCTTGTCACTGCTCATTTTTCAGGGCTCAGTGTGTGCTTATATACCAAAACCTGGCTCAGATGTGAAATTGATGTCTCGCTCAACTGCTGATAGAACTTTGATTGTTGTCAATGAGCGGCCTGTACACATAAAGGAACTGTTGAAAGTGAGTTTTGTGTGTAAGGTAGTTCTCCTTGTAAGCAGTAGGGTAAAAAATAAGTTAAAAAAATATATAAGACCCCTTTTATGCCTGTTGGGCATCTGGCTCATGATGCTTGACTCGTATATTTATAGACCAATTGGCACTTGCTGGGTAATGTGGTCAACATCACGCCAGCTGCCTTTACTTCCCAGGACGTGACTTAGTGCCCATTGTAAGTTGGGCCGACCTGGAAGCAAAGGACAATTGTGAATTAAAAATCTGCCTTGATTCAGATTTTAACCCGAGACATTCAAGCAGGCAGGCGGGCCCCTGCCGTTTCCAGGGTTAAAAAAATTTAAATATGCAGTGATATTTTATTTCACACAAACCTTTTGCGGTTGTTGTAAACTCATCATCATGTAGGAGGTCCTTAACAGAATGTCGATCTCACCATAGCATGTTGGAAGGCCATTCAGTCTGTTACGAACTGTCCTAGTTTATGAACTTTAATGCCCTTGATATCCTGTGTCCATCATCATACTGATTGACAGCTGCCTCTTTTTTTCAGGAACTCTACCCTCCATTATTGTTCACGCCATACCATTATGGCATTTAAATAGCAGCTATATTTTAGAACCTGAGAAACGATACGATCTGTGAGCCAGTCTATCTGTATTATTAAAATTTAAAACCGATTACACTTTATTTGATTATCCCTTTTCTGTGCTCCCACTTTATAGTGAAATCAAACCAGACGGGAAGTAAACTTATTCAGCTTCACCTATTCACTGTCGCAATCAGTTGATGTTGCGGCAGTTAGCCTTTATTAGCAGAACAACAATGAGAAGCAAAACATAAAATGACTCTGAAAGGATTATATTGCGGTACCACTTTATCTTGTTTTGGAGCTTTGCATACTCCAAAAGTAATGTTGTCTAGTTTGGCTGAGCAGTGTTTCTCAAGTCAGATGTGCCAGGGGACATGATAACGCAGTGGTCTCCAACCTTTTTTTTTTTGGTGGCGACCCCCTTGAGTATATGGTAAGACCCCCACACCCCCCACCCCCACCATAATAAAATAGGATCAGAAAGAGGAGCGGCATGTTCCTCATCTATAAATAAATGCAGATATTAATTAGATTGTTAACAGTAGATGTACAAACTGCACATGAAAACAGAAAAATCCTTAATTTTTGTTTGTTTTATAAATAGTTGTAAAGAATGTTATAATTATAATAAAATTAGTTTGCCATTGCTTTCTAGATAGTCGCTTTCTTGATACCACTGTCGAAACCAATGCATGGTGCATGGCCCGCAGCTGGGATCGAACCCAGCATCCCGACATTACGAAGCGGTCTCATCAACTTATTCACAGAGCCGACAAATTATTATCACCTAGGTTAGTTGCGTATCCTTTACAGGACGTTGCAGAACCAACACCAACGGCCCCTGGCTGTTGTGTGGTTTTTCTAGGCAAATTTACATCCAGTAGTTTGAAATTGCTTTCTGGATGGTCGGTTACAGGACATTGCAGAACCAACCCCAACAGCCCCTGGCTGTTGTGTGGTTTTCTAGGCAAATTTACGTCCAGTACTTTGCCATTGCTTTCTGGGTGGTCGGCTTTCAAAAAGGTTAGTTGCGTATCCTTTACAGGATGTTGCAGAACCAACCCCAACAGCCCCTGCTGTTGTGTGGTTTTTGTAGGCAAATTACATCCAGTAGTTTGCCATTGCTTTTTGGGCGGTCAGCTTTCTTGATACCACTGTCGAAACCAACACAAGACGCATGGCCCGCAGCTGTGATCGAACCCGGCATCCCGGCATTATGAAGCGTTCGCATCGACTAAGCCACAGAGCCGACTTGCATCCTGTAAGAAGTAAAATAATCTCCAGGTGTAATGAAATTGGTAAATTCCATAATGTCTGAAAATAAAACTTGCCTAAAAGTTATGTTATTTAAGACATCTTTGAAAAAGAAATGTAATCGAGAAACAAATATTTAAAAAAAAAATATACTAGCAAGGTTACTTTCACATTGATATACAGAGAATAATAAGTATTTATACTAAAGTAAATTGGATAGCAGAAAACAAAGTTACCAGAGGAATTATTGTGTCTGATTCTCAGGTGGCACTACGGAAGTCTCAAAATGAACTAATGTGGCATGAGTGGATACCATGCATCAGTGCGCCAGCATTGCAGGGAATCTCGTGGATATACTGTCTGGGATATGCAGGAGTGTGAGGGAATGAAAAAGCGGATTGTTTGGCTACAAAAGCGAAAGCTACGGGACTACTCGTACTGGACAAAGGAGATATTCTGAAGACCTTATATGAACGACTGCTGACAGAAGACACGAGATTAGATAAAATAACATGTGCAAGAATGTGTGAACAAGGAATTAAGTATGGATCCGGCAAGGAGGGACAAATGAGAGAAAGGGAATGATGTGTGTATAATCATAGTGCTGCCAAAACAGTTAAATTAATCCTGCAGCAAATGTCATATACATTAATAATTTTTGGCTGTGGAGCTCATTTTTAAAAGTAAGATATTAAAAAGTTTATGTAAATAGAGATAGAGGAAGACAACAGGAAAAGATTCTTGACAGCCTTTTGTCGTGACATAAAGGGGTGTCAGCACATGAACTGATACATGTTGAGTCAGTAGGTTGTGAAAAGATCACAGATGCCAGTCGACAAGGCACTTGACAATGATGATAAGGGTGTAGAAGAATGTTTTTCTATAAAAACACATTATTATTCTTGTAGTAGCAAGTCCCTGAGAGTAACACTGTGTTGTGATAGTAGTTAATTGTTATTTTGTTATTTCTGACAGGTTCTAAAACAGTATTACTGCAACTGTCATGGCTGTGATACCAGTCGATTTCCTATCTGTTACGTTCATGTCAAATTGCCAACTGCTGATGTAGATGTCAATGTGGATCCAAATAAAACTACTGTGTTTTTGAAGCATCTGGTAAATAGATACTTTGATAAAACTTTAAATGGCGACCCTAAGGGGCGCAGATGTTTGTTTATGACCACCATAAGGGACACAATGCATTGTTTGTGTATGTTCACCTAATAATTTTCTGTAATATTTAATATTGCTTCAGGTTAGGGTTAGGGTTAGCCCTAACACTAGCTCTAACCCTAACCTCAAACAGTATTAAATATTAAAGAATATTTTTGTGTGAACAAACAATGGATTGAGTCCCCATTTAAAGTATTATTAACTTATAATAGATTGTTTCTCTTAGGGTCATCATTTGAAGTTTTGCTGATACTTTTATTAACCTTTCTTCTGTGTGTTCCAAACATTTACTTTAATCCTGCATCATAATCCTGTCGCCTAGTATATGTACTGTCCAGTTACTTGACAGTAATTTAACTCTATTGCTTTAAGATAGTGTTGAATTCAACAGTGTCTGTGCTATAGTTGTTTTATCCTAGAGCAACATTTTTTTTTAAAGATTCCCAGAGCCGAACAAAACAGCTTTGGGTAAAAATAGAAAGAATGAAGAAGTTGTTATTATATTACTTTTTACTTTCACCGGCTGTAAACTTTGGCGGAAAGTTCTGGTTGTTCATCCACTTCTGGACTGCAGTCCAGTTTCAGAACCTTAGTGTTGCATGTGCATCCATTTGACAGATCTGACTCATTTGCGTGCAGACTGTTGGTTTCTTGCTACTCAGGCAGATGCACTCCAACTTCGATGGAAGCTCCTAATTAGTCAACTCTTACAACATGCTTTTGGGTAGGCAGTGGGTCTGTTCTTGTTTTCCCTATAATAGGGTCCCCCGGAACACACACAGGGAATAATAACAACTGAAAAAATAAGGGATTAACATAAGACAAGAATGGGATAGGAAGAGTAAAGAAGGTGTGTACCACATATGGTTTATGGTTTATACAACTGATCAACATCTTGGCACAAGGGTAATAACCCATAAGTGCTTTGTTCTACTTCTAACTCAAGCCCAAGTCCGAAGAATCTCAGAGCAGTGCACGCAACCCTGTAGCACCATATAATGTAACAAATGACCGTGAAAATCCACGATATGCTTTTGATCTGGGTCCTGTCAAGTGATGCAAGCCACTCTGCACGCAGTACACCAGTTTAAATTTTCTAAAGCATGTTTAAGTCAAAGTATCTGTCTCGCACCTCCGAGATCAAAATAAAACGTTGATAAGACCAGTCGTGTTATATGGTTCTGAAATTTGGAGCACATCTAACAGAGATGAAACCTTATTACAGGTTTTCGAAAACAAAGTCTTACGACGAATCTTTGGACCCATCAAAGATGCAAACAGCGGTGAATGGAGAGTGAGAAGCAACAACGAAATTCATTATCTGTTTAAATCACCACTGATCACTGGCATCATGAGAACTAATAGACTGAAATGGTTGGGGCATATTGAAAGAATGTCAGATGACAGAGAAGTAAAAACTGAATACACCAGGGAGATGAATGGTTGTAGACCACGAGGGAGACCAAGAAGACGATGGAGAGATAATATCCAGACAGACCTGCAAACACTTGGTGTTACCAACTGGAAAGAGAAGGCTAACCAGAGAGATAAATGGAGGCGGGTGATATCTGCAGTAATGAACCTCAAGGGACCGGAATGCTGAAGAAGAAGGAGAAGAAGAAAGCTTGCTCTGTGAGTCTGTTACAATTACAACATGCAAGCCATCAAAAAGCTGCTATTACTGCTTCCACCTCCATTCTCATACGGGATGTAGTGACATTTTCAAGCAGTATCCCTTCACTTTTGTAATAAAACCTCACCTACTCTTCTTACTGTTACTACATTATGGTGTCGCCTGGGCATGAATTTTCACTGATGAGCTCTTGCACTGCTGACTCTGTCTTACCAGCTAATCATTCCCAGCTCCCTCAGTCCAAGGTAACTATCACTCTGTGCAAGTCTGTTTTGCTGGGTGGCACTGTAACCCATTCTTCACAGTGCGCTGTCTTGTCAGTAGCACAAACAGTTCTGATCATGACTTCTGCTTGTGCCATCCAAAAGCCACCTCTTTTCAGCCATTGTTCTTGCTGTCCCCTAAGGCAGCAATTTTCAACCTGCATGTCGCGACCTTTTAAAACAATGTCAAATGACCCTTTCACAGGGGCTGCCTAAGACCATCAGAAAACACTTATTCATTGATGTTATGAAGAAAATAATAGTTTGTGGGTCGCCACAACATGAGGGAACTGTATTAAAGGGTCGCCACAACATGAGGGAACTGTATTAAAGGGTCGCCACAACATGAGGGAACTGTATTAAAGGGTCGCCACAACATGAGGGAACTGTATTAAAGGGTCGCCACAACATGAGGGAACTGTATTAAAGGGTCGCCACAACATGAGGGAACTGTATTAAAGGGTCGCCACAACATGAGGGAACTGTATTAAAGGGTCGCCACAACATGAGGGAACTGTATTAAAGGGTCGCCACAACATGAGGGAACTGTATTAAAGGGTCGCCACAACATGAGGGAACTGTATTAAAGGGTCGCCACAACATGAGGGAACTGTATTAAAGGGTCGCCACAACATGAGGGAACTGTATTAAAGGGTCGCCACAACATGAGGGAACTGTATTAAAGGGTCGCCACAACATGAGGGAACTGTATTAAAGGGTCGCCACAACATGAGGGAACTGTATTAAAGGGTCGCCACAACATGAGGGAACTGTATTAAAGGGTCGCCACAACATGAGGGAACTGTATTAAAGGGTCGCCACAACATGAGGGAACTGTATTAAAGGGTCGCCACAACATGAGGGAACTGTATTAAAGGGTCGCCACAACATGAGGGAACTGTATTAAAGGGTCGCCACAACATGAGGGAACTGTATTAAAGGGTCGCCACAACATGAGGGAACTGTATTAAAGGGTCGCCACAACATGAGGGAACTGTATTAAAGGGTCGCCACAACATGAGGGAACTGTATTAAAGGGTCGCCACAACATGAGGGAACTGTATTAAAGGGTCGCCACAACATGAGGGAACTGTATTAAAGGGTCGCCACAACATGAGGGAACTGTATTAAAGGGTCGCCACAACATGAGGGAACTGTATTAAAGGGTCGCCACAACATGAGGGAACTGTATTAAAGGGTCGCCACAACATGAGGGAACTGTATTAAAGGGTCGCCACAACATGAGGGAACTGTATTAAAGGGATTAAGAAGGTTGAGAGCCACTGCCCTAAGACCTCACACAGAAGGTGTTCTTGTCTGTTTCGACTGTAAGGTACATTTTCACCTGTAAAACCTTGTATTTCTCATATACAGATGGTAATTCAAGTATGTGCCGCATGCATAATATTGGTGTTTCGTGTGTAAACATCAAAATAACTTGCATGGCTTCATTTTGTATGCGTCCAGACTTCTTTGTTTGGGAATGAGGTAATGTTAGCAGTCCCAAACTATATTCCATCACTGAAATAATCAGTTGCTGGTAGAGTGTATAGAGCATTTTCTGTTCCATGTCTGCTGATGTCATCACCTTCAAAGCATTGAGTCCTTTCATTATCTTTTAAAACTACCTCTTACACATGGCGTTTGAAAGACAGACTCCTGTCAAAAGTAATTTCTAGATAGTTTAGTGAATTATCTCTCTTTATATTACTGCTGTTTATTGTGATGTTCGGCACAACACATCTCTAACAATTCTTTATTTATACAACACCACAATACCGCTGCCTTATCCAGGTTGACGACTGACTGAGCCTGTTTCCTCACCCCACTCGCCGACCTATCTACCACGAACTGCAGTTCTCTAACTTTAACTTTATTGTAGTCAATAATATAGAGCTGGACCACACTGTAGCTTGATTGTAGTCAGTAACTGACAGCTGTGTATAGAACTTAAACAATTATGTAATTAGACAGTTACATTATCATACAATCCTAAGTGTAATATGTAATAAAAACATACTGTTTGAAAATGTTTAAATTACTGATTCTTTTGTGTGTGTGTCTTTTTCAACCATAGATTGAGGTGAGGACATTTTTGGAAGAGCTGTTACTGAAGATTTATGGTCCTTTAGACAATGTGCCTAGCTGGCATTACAGTGAAGCCGTGAAGATTACCCAGGAGCAGAACATTGAAAAAAGTTTGTCTGATGTAAGTTCGTGAAGGGAGCTTTTTATTTTCCATTCGTTACCTCCGCCCTGAACTTTGTATACAAAAAGTCATGATTCTGACCCTGCGGCTGCCCTTGTAAAACAAGAATTTGCATTTGATTGTTGTTGAATTTGTGCTTCAGTTATATAGGATTCACTTATTTACTTCATTTATGTAATTGTTACTGTAGCATGCACCTGACGAGATGCAGCGAAATATGCCAGGCAGTAAATTGTGCAGTCTGTTGTTTGTGTCTTCTTTATTCAAATTTACAATGGGGAAACATGGCTTTGATTTACAATTATGTCAGAAAACAATAGTACATGCTTATTTCTTTTCTAATGAGGGTAATGTTTTTTCAGGTTCTTTCTAGCTCAAGGTCAATATAGCAAGCATTAGTATAAGGTTTAATGTTATTCATTCAGTCTTAAGACTGGTATTGAAGTTGTCTGTCATTTTCCTCAGATGTCTGCTTTTGTCTCCTGTTTTTAGTTTTCAGCAACTCCGATCAGACAATGCGAGAGTTGGAACCCCAACTTTCCTGTATGCTTGCAAAATGTAGTCATTTTTACAATGAATATAATTTTCTCTTTCTCAGGATCTTATCTTCCAAAATTGTCAGTAACAGATCTCTCTATTTTATATTGTGACCAGGCCATGATGTTCAATAGTTGTTCCTTGTTCCTAGACTGAAAATTTGTTAATTTGATAGTATTGTTTCTTAGTTTGCAACATGCTAAAACACCATGAAATCTGTAATTAAAATTGCTTGGTCAGGCAGTTGCCACATGTTGCACAGGCTAGGGTTTTATGGGAGGGGGGGGGGGGGGGGTACCTCTAAGCCTTTCTTAAGACTGTATACACACTGCACAATGTTTGAGGCAGACATTCCTCATTTACCTGCTGATGTCAAATACTAGAAGACTTCATATGAAAATCTAGACATGACAGTGACACTCCATTGTCTTGTAACCTGTCAGTATTGTCGTTAAGAATGTCAAGAGTGTTAAGCACATTACAATTACGGTGCAGACGAATATGGTGACTTCGTAATGACAGTTTAACACTTTCGCTGCTATGGACGTCTCTTCCTGATTTCCCGTACGCTGCTACCCCCGTCTTTGGACGTTATTTTTTTTCTTGACCCCCAGTGCTATGGACGTCCTAAGCCGTTTTTGGACTTTTCTTACAGATTTCTGTTACCTCGTATTTTATTGGCTATTACATTAGCTATATTTAGATTAAACTGACCCATTTACATATGATTAGAAGCACTGGCACGTGCTTTTATGTGTGTTTAAGGTGTGTTTACTGCATTTTGCGTTATCCCGTTGCTTTGTTTACCGTGACAGCGTGGTCGGTGATCTGTGTATTTTGTGCCCTGATATATGTTTGTGCTTTTGGATTATTGTACACTTAGTACAAAATGGCAAGAAAACTTGTTAAAGTTGATGAAGAATTGGTGGAGTTTCTGTCAAGAAGTGATAGAGAAGATGACTTTGAAATGTGTACTTCTGACAGTGAACAAGAAGATTTGACTAGGCCATCAGCGTGTCCAAAAAAAGCTGTTTGCCTGTCCGACGTCCTCATCGTCGGAATCAGAGAGCAGCGACAATGAAGCGCCATCAAAACGGCAATAAATTGATCAGTTATCTTGATGAACCGATGATTTGAAACCTGTAGTGCATAATTTTGATGACTCCAGCTCTATCTTTATTTCTGCTACTGTAATTTAAAACAGTTAAGTCACTAAAAATTCTCGTCTTTCCCGCCGATGGACAGACACAGATTCGGACGAACTTTTTTTTTTTTTTTTTTTTGCTGTCTGTCTGCTAATGCTTAGAACAAAGAAACTCAAAATAGAGTACTTGAGCAAAGTCTGTTTGCTAAAAACTCCCGTAAAATAATATCGAGGGACATATTTTTACTATTGTTGATAATCTCAAACATTTTTGGGACAACAGTGCTCATGTAGGCGGCAATAGACTACAAGCTTAGACATGTTTTTGATAGTCTGCGCACATCGTTCATTATTATCATTCACACAGCGAAATGCGTCAGGCGGTAGCATAGTGTAGTTGGTATCACGTTCGCCTTAGAATCGGAGGGTCGTGTGTTCAACCCCCGAAGTTTTTTAAAAATTTTTTATTAATTGTAAATTTTCCTTTCAGTTCCTGCTACTTTTCATCAACGGACGACTCAAGTATTATTATTAAATTTTTTTATTATTTTGGTATTTTTAGATATTTTCCATGTGAAAATCTTTATGTCCTTTAATAATTTTTATGCAGAATACTTAGGATTTCTTTTGCCTTAACACATTTTTTTGTCTGCAAGTCTATAATGCCATTTTTGTGTTATTTGTTGATTTTCACATTGCTAGTTGTCATGAGTATAATTTTGATAAAAAGTTAATTCCTTTTGATTTGTATTCATGTTACATTTCAGTGTGCGTAAATTATTAAAAAGCTTTATTCAGCCCACATAATAATTTGCTTACTGATAGTACATTATTAACTTTTTACAACTTTTCTGTCTCTTTTTTTTATTCAGGCTGAACCTGCTGCGATTGTCAGAAAACTGCTTGGAAAAGTAGCTGATGATAAAGGGAGAGGTCATGTGACACCTAATATTGACAACAGTTGTGCAAATAGTACTTTGCAAGAAAAAACTGTTGATAAATCAAAACCGTTACCTTCTTTTATCTTGACATTTCACAATAATGAAAACTCTTCAGCAAAATTGAATGAAATGGACATAGATTCAGAAAGTCTTCAACATAGAAAAACAGATACAAGCTCAACATCAAACATGTTCAGCAAGATATCTGTTAAAAATGCCAGGATTTCATGTGAAGGTAATAATAGTAAAGATACAGCAGCTGTAGATGTTACACTTGAACATTTAAATTCTTGTGCAAATTCCACCGAATTGATGTGCGATTCATCTGTACCAGAGTCTGTGAATGATTGTTCAAGCCCATTGATACCATTAAAAATCAGGACTGTTGAGAAAGGGATAGATATATCAGAGGAGTCTTCTGTGCTGGACAGTTCCATTACAAGAAAACTGCCAGATAACCATGACACAGATCAAGTAATAGATCCTGATGTGGATAAAGATCATGCAGATAATGCTGAAGCCAGTGCAGAAAGCAAGGAGACCGTGACTGGCAAGGCTTGGAGTATGGGTCATAGTGGGAAGTCAGCTAATGGTGGACAGCTGCAGGTGGGTAAACACTGATTTTTGTGTGATGTTATTTATCCATTGGCATCTTGGCTTCTGCTGTTTGGCACAATACCCTACAGTCACATTTGCAAGTGTTCATCATCTGTTCGGGTTGTTTTGTATAAAGTATTTCTTTTATTTCTTCTTATTTTTTTGCGTTCACCGGCTGTAAACTCCCGCATAAAATTCTAGTTGTTCCTTTACTTCAGGACTTTAGTCTTGTTTTTGAACTTGAGTTTTGTGTGCACTTCTGGTTTACAGATCTAGCTTATTTGTATGCAGGCTGTTGGTTCCTTGCCTCACAGGCAGATGCACCCTGACTTCGAAGGAAACCCCTATAGACAACTCTTGTGACAGGCTTTTTGGGGGAGAACAGTGGGTCTATTCTTGTTTTCCCATAATGGGGCCTCGGAATCCACATAGGGATTTCTTTTATTTAATCTTTTATTAGCTTATATATTCTGTAACATGGGACTCCATATCACCCCAGGAAATTCAGAATTGATCGGGTCTAGTACTGTGTCTGTTCAGTAAAGTTCTGTTTCCTTTCCAATCATAGAGGGGCTATACAGTGCTGATGCACTGAGATTATTTTCAAAATTTGCATCGGTTTAGATCCATGTGTTCAGTCTCTGTTCTATATCCTACAATAAATTTAGTGTGAAAGTGATCAGCGTTGATTTTAGGTGCTTTATTAATATGCTACCCCAGATGACGTCACAGGACAGTCCAACATTTTAGAGGGTGGTAACACTGTGTTTCCCGGCTTTCTGATGCTTTTAACGACCCCAAAACATCTAGAACTCGCCCTAACCCCAACCCCAACCCACCTATGTCCCGTGAGAGAGTGCAGCCTAGGTCCCACAACTGCATGCAGTCTAGGTCCCACAACTGCATGCAGTCTTTCTGCCACCCCCTGAAATATTAGACTTGTCCGTGACCTCTGGATTTCCCCTGTTTAGGGTAAGATATTAATGAAGCACCTTATTTTATAAAATAAATTGTGTGCAGTCTTCATAAGGAGGTTGACTGCAGCTGACTCACTGCTGTATTTGGGGATATTACATGGGGGTTCTAGTCTCTTCCTTTTTTTTTATAGAGCTGTCTGAAGTCACAAGAATGGCCTTGATCATCTTATGATTACTGCTACGTTGATATAACATGCATAATGTGGAAGTTATAATTTCTGTGTAAGTGAAATATTCATGTTTGAATAGACTGGGCCTGTATGGCCCTTTGAAAATAGAATTAATTCGTTTGGTAATTAATTAAAGGGTTTGCAACCTCAGTGGACAGCACTACTTCGGGTAGGATAGGGCCTTTCATCAGTGACAGCCATCTACCAGGTTTTGCTTGACAATAAGGTTTAATCTGCATTGATGCTCCTTTGTGAAAGTCACTAGGTCTTGGATAAAGCTGGGATAAAAATTTAAATATTGGACACCTCCACTACTCACAAGACAGAAACATTATACTCTGAATAAAACTTGTCTTCCTTCTGCATTGAATAAAACCCACTTATATACAAAGACAGCAAATAAAATGGTTTGCCCACTAAGAACAAATACCTAGTCTGTAAAAGGCATTTAAAACATTAGAAGAGGGATATATAGCCAGAGGGAGACCAAGAACAAGGTTGAAGAGGTAGCATCAGATAAACTACAACAGTAGTATATCTGCGAGTAAGAGCCAGAAGAGCGATATCCAGAACCCTGTGTCCCCACCAACACCTGAAACCCTGTATGTCCATCGACACCTGAAACCCTGTATCTCCACCGACACCTGAAACTCTGTACGTCCATCAACCCCCGAAACCCTGTGTGTCCATTGACACCTGAAACCCTGTATCTCCATCGACACCTGAAACCCTCTATCTCCATCGACACCTGAAACCCTGTATCCCTGAAACCCTGTATCTCCATCGACACCTGAAACCCTGTATGTCCATTGACACCTGAAGCTCTGTATCTCCATTGACACCTGAGGCCCTGTGCATCCATCGATACCTGAAACCCTCTATCCATCGACACCTGATTCATTGGAGAAGTGCCTGATTGAACAATTAATAATGCTTGGCCCTCATGCAGCTGACCAAGGTTTAAATCCTGTGTAAGGTTTGGGGTTTTGTTTGACACTGATAGCATAATGTTACGAGTATAGCAGGAAAAAGGATTCGTTTTCTTTATTCCAACAGCCAGTCAGACTGTTAACAAGTTCACCGGTGGACACTCCACGAAAGAGGCCACCACCCTCAGATAGTCAGTCCTCTTCTAGACGTCCCGTGAAGGAAAGAAAAATAACTGTCGAGGTCAGTTTTTGTTTTTAAATATAAGTTGTAGTTTTGTTTTTTATTGTAGTAATGATCAGGTTCTCAAAAAAATGTGCTTAACAGCAGTAATATTTTATCAGTACTATTTAGGAGCGTGTAAAACCTATGTGTGAGTTCCGGGGCCCTGTTGTTGGGGGATAGAGAACATCCACTGCCCTCCTAAGGCATATTCTAAATGGTGACCAATTAGAGGTATTTTCTTCGAAGCTTTAGTGCACCTGCTTGAGAGGTGAGGAACCAACAGTTTGCATACAGATAAGCCAGATCTATAAAACAGATACGTACACAAAACTCAAGTTCTAGAACATGACCAGATTTCAGAAGCAAACAACCAGAACTTTTTGCCAGTTTGCAGCCGGTGGTCGCTAAGAATTAGAAGACAGATGATGGTATAATAGTTTGGAAAATGTTTTTAACAATTTCTAACATTTGAAAAAAAAGGTAAATTAATTTATCTCTGATGTTTCCTTTTTACATGTGACTTAACTTATGCACTTTCTTACATATACTGGTCTGGGACAGTCAGATTCAGGATTGTGCTTTCCATTCAGTGTTGCTGGGTCAATCAGATTCAGGATTGTGCTTTCCATTCAGTGTTGCTGGGTCAATCAGATTCAGGATTGTGCTTTCCATTCAGTGTTGCTGGGTCAATCAGATTCAGGATTGTGCTTTCCATTCAGTGTTGCTGGGTCAATCAGATTCAGGATTGTGCTTTCCATTCAGTGTTGCTTTGAGGTTTGATCCGGCCTCATAAAATAAGTACCAAATAATTTCCTGGGAAGGTGAGACAGACAGCAAAGAGGAGAACTCAGCATCCAACTTTATTACGGCATGGCCTAGAATATATGACAGCTTAACCTTGTCATCCCGAGCAGCTGTGAACTCGGCATTTCTATCTGTAACATATTGTTGCTTATCTAGCATTTCTGCTATGGCCAGTCACCAAGAAGACTTGGGGACTGGGGGGGGGGGGGGGGGGGGGGGGGAGAACCGCAGGTTCCTGCCTTTCTGTTTTAAAGCATTTCTGGAGTGAAACTTGACACTTTACATCCAAAATGTGCTGTTTGCCATGGGAATACTTTCTTTGCTATTGGTGATCTATTGCTGTTGCTTGTAACCCTCACCAGCAGAAGAGCTCCATTTGTAAAAAATGTCTTTCCCATTCAAAAGTTATTGTTTAAGCATGGGTTTTTGTAAAATATTTTATATTTTATCTATGTGTTCATTTAGAGTGGACAGAAAGAACACCCTGTGAAGAACCCAGACAAGAAAACTTTGAAACAACGACTGTACCAATCAGAGAATAAACTTCACTGTGATGTAAAAGATTTGAGGACTGCCTTGCTGAAAAAGGAAATAAAACCAGACAGGTATTTCCATATTATTGGTTTATTTTTAAAGTAAAATGTTTTATCAGCTTTAAATTCTTCTTCTTTTATCCTAAAGCTTATGCAGTAAAACACCACAGAGAGGAGGTAGCTGTAGTTTCCTGTCTTTTGCTAATTGTCTAGCCTGTGTTAATGTTGTATTGTGTTTCTGTGGTGTGTCTCTTTTACTCTTTCAACCGGTCTATTTCTTGGTTGGCCTCTTGTCTTTTAGCCTCGCCTCATGTACGTTGTGTTTATTACTTATAGCACTACTAAATATTTATCCTCAAGGTACAAACAGGAAAAACAAATTTGTCCAGTTTAATCTTGTTGGATGAAATCAGTCGACTAATTGGGAAGCTTCCTTTGAAGTCGGAGTGCATCTGCCGGAGAGGCAAGGAACCAGCAGTCTGTATTCAAGAGAATGAGATCTGTAAAACTGATGCACGCGCAACACTCAGATTCTGGAGCAGGACTGCAGTTCAGTAGTGGACGAGCAACCAGAACCTTCCGTCAGAGTTTACAGCTGGTGAACGCGAAGAAGAAGAAGAAGAAGTTCCTTATCATTGTGAATTTTTTGGTAACTGTTTAAAAATACATCACACATATACATTACACAGACCATACAACTGCAAATATACATAAGAAGTAGATGAACAACCAGAAGTTTCTGCCAGAGTTTACAGCCAGTGATCTTGAAGCAGAAGACGATTCACAAAAATGAACATAGACCATACAACTGCAAATATACATAAGAAGTAGATGAACAACCAGAAGTTTCTGCCAGAGTTTACAGCCAGTGATCGTGAAGCAGAAGACGATTCACAAAAATGAACACAGACCATACAACTGCAAATATACATAAGAAGTAGATGAACAACCAGAAGTTTCTGCTAGAGTTTACAGCCAGTGATCGTGAAGCAGAAGACGATTCACAAAAATGAACACAGACCATACAACTGCAAATATACATAAGAAGTAGATGAACAACCAGAAGTTTCTGCCAGAGTTTACAGCCAGTGATCGCGAAGCAGAAGACGATTCACAAAAATGAACACAGACCATACAACTGCAAATATACATAAGAAGTAGATGAACAACCAGAAGTTTCTGCCAGAGTTTACAGCCAGTGATCATGAAGCAGAAGACGATTCACAAAAATGAACATAGACCATACAACAGCAAATATACGTAAGAAGTAGATGAACAACCAGAAGTTTTTGCCAGAATTTACAGCCATTGATCGCGAAACAGAAGATGATTCACAAAAATGAATACAGACCATACAACTGCAAATATACATAAGAAGTAGATGAACTACCAGAAGTTTCTGCCAGAGTTTACAGCCAGTGATCACGAAGTAGAAGATGGTTCACAAAAATGAACCCAGACCATACAACTGCAAATAAACATAAGAAGTAGATGAACAACCAGAAGTTTTTGGTTCTACTTCTACATCATATAATTATACTGTTAGTCAAAAATTTGTAAAGAGAAAAAGAGTGACTTGCTGTGAGAGGTTAGTTAGTAAATATTGTTTTTATCCACTTACCCAGAGCTCTGAAATGTCGACACAATTTATCCACAGTGTAGTCGCACCAGTTATGCACAGTCAATATGAAAGCAATAGTTTTCTTCCAACACAAGATAGTTTGCACCTGACAACTGTCGATATTCTCCAGATTTGGCTTCTAAATAACCTGTTTGTAATTTCCCCAAAAGTAAAATTTCCATATTCAAAATAGAAAAAGAATAAACAAAGAGTTCCAAAAACTCCTAACTATTGACTAGACACTGTGACACACACATCACAACACGACTGTCTCCCGTGAATTTAAATTCAAATTGCTGTAATCTAACAGCAAAGTTTAAAAATCTTGTATACCCACTTAACAATATCCGTTTGTTGATTTGTAATACGAATACATTCAGAACACAGAACTTTGTAAGCACATTTAAATGTCACACAATGCAACATGGAAACGCTTCCACTAACCAAATTTTCGAGGGGACCTCGCCAAAATGTCATGTGATTTAGTCAGGACATAAATACAGAAGGGCGTGGTTTTGCTAACCCGTATAATCACTCTACATTTATGTTTTTAATGGCCAGTTGGTTATGTATGTATCTGTTCAATCACTCTGGTGGTAAATCAGATCTCCAGTTTCATCAGCCATAGCCGAATGAGGTATTTTCCCTTTTGTCTTCACTGTTGATTTTCTTGAAACATTACATCTGTTTGTAATTTTGCTGTAATTTGGGTATTTAATTTTTTTTTGCAGGATTTTTTTCGAGACACCAACTGTGATTGGCCAGGCTAAATTATGTGATGCTTGGTTTTGTGGCCAAGGTGACAAGCTCAGTCTTGTCAACATTTACAGACTAGGGGAGGCAGTATTGTACAGAAACTTAAAGGACAAGCACAGATTAAAAGCAAAATTGTTGCCATCCCCTATGGATCTCTGCTGTCTGTGAGTTAGATGTTGATTTTATTAGCTGTGTGGTAACTTGATCATTTATTTTTCTTATTTTGCAGGATTTTCACATTAACAGTTTGATAAAAGACTGTGAAACCAATAGTGGATATGCCACACTGCTAAGATAGTTGTTTATGCTCATTTGTCCTTTACTGCAAGAGTCAAATAAGATCCCTGTTTTACATTTCTGTGCATCCTATCACTTCTGGAACTTATCGTCTGCTATTGTTCTAGTTATGTCTACATAAATCCAGGTTTTTGTATGTCAGTTGCCGCCATGGAGATCTTTCTGTGACTTCCAAAAAGCGTCATATTTTGTCTTTGCATGAAGCTGTTAGTCCACAACTAACATAATGCAAGGCAGAGTCTTGAAGATTATCTTAAGTTGCCTGTTCTGCAGTAGATGTATTTCAATGTTAAGTGATTTCTCAGTCAGTTGTTATGTTCAGGTCTGGATTTTGATGACTTATCTTTCTTTAACAAATCATTATCTGTGAAACAGTCACCCAATGTTATCCGTGTGTTGTTGATTAAAGTGTATGTTGCTATTCTCTGAGACTGCCTAATAACTTTATCTGACTGTTTCTCTCTGTGAGCAAATGCTCAATACCCAGTTGACAAACCGAGTGGTAGTCTTGAGGTAATGTTGGACTGTCTGTTCTGTCCGTGGGTGACAGGACCAGTTTCAGTCTGTGTAAGCGGCTGTGTAGTCGGTTTTGTTCAGTTATTTCTTCAGGTGGATCTCAGAATAATGGTTTGGATTGTACTTCATGGGCAAGAGCAGAAGGCTAGCTAGCAGGTGTTATGTGTTTGATACAAATAATATGACAGTGTAAAATCATAAAGTAAAAGCTGCATTGCAATTGTCCTGGTCAGTTTATAGCATTAGAAAGTCTGCCCACAACATAATGTTTCTAATGCATGTTGAAGACAGGTAGCAAACTTGGCTCTAAAAAGCCATGCTGAAGTCATATTTATAGCTGGCAGGTATATCTATTTGTAGGTTTGCTACAAACGGTCATAAACAGTAGCTTTCATAAAAATATGTAAGAACAAAAAAACAAAAACAAAATGTTTGATTGTTACACATGATGCACATTTTCAAACCTGGTTGGTGGTTAGCTTCTGTAAACAACAATGTGTTCCTGGGGCCCATCAGTTTCTCCTTCTGCAGAACTTTGCTCTCATAACTACACTCTGGAAAACTTCTTGATCACAAGAAAGATGTCCCATGTCCAATTATCAGCCACATCCTGCACCCATCTTCTCTTTAACCTTCCTCTTCCTCTCTTCCCAGGCATATTCACCTCCATTATTGTTTTCTCTAAACTTCAGTGATATTTAAAGTGACAAAAATATTTTAATTTTAGAAGTTTTATCGTCTTTAATAGCAGGGCCCATAAGGCAAGTAAAGAAAAGTAACAGTGTCCATGTAGTATGCAAGGGGTAAATAAGGCGGGTTGGTGTGAGACTGGCTGCTTTATCCCATAAAATGGACCACGTGTGTAGGACTGCAGGTTAGTCCAGGCTGGTGTAGCTGTTAAAGGTGTCTTAATTATAGAACTTCTTTAGAGCTTGAATGGGAAATGTGGGATCTGCCTTGTTGGTCGGCCATCCAGATTAAGAATTTTGAATCTCAGGATGGTTTCATATAACTTTAGGTAACAGCCCTTTGGGGACAAACTGCTGGACCGATCAGCTGAACAGGTTTGTATAAAGGACTTGTACTTAGTTGTGAAATGAAAGGCAGAAGATCACACTTTGAAAATACTCTTCCCAAGTAAGTCATTAAATATTACGATGAATCGTTGGACCTATAAAAGATGTAAACAATGGGGAATGGAAAGTGAGAAGCAAGAACGAAATTCATGATCTGTTTCAATTGCCTTTGATCGTTGGCATCATGAGAGCTAATAGGTTGAAAAGGCTGGGGCATATTGAGAGAATGTCAGATGACAGAGAGAAAAAACTGTATACACAAGAGAGATGAATGGTCATAGACCACGAGGCAGACCAAGAAAACGATGGAGAGATACTGTCCAGAGTGATCTGCAAACACTTGGTGTTACGAACTGGAAAGAGAAGGCCAGCCAGAGAGATGAGTGGAGGCGCGTGATATCTGTAGCAGTGAACCTCAAGGGCTCGGAACACTGAAGAAGTAAGTCATTAAAACACATTGCTTCTATTTTTAAATTTTACTATAGTTGCTGTTTTTTTTTTTTAAACCTATTTTTGTTTGACCAGGTTAAAAAAATATTTAAATTTTCTTTTTATTTGCCACTTTCTTCTGAACTGTAAGCTGTTTATCATCACTTGCTGTGTTGCTGCAGTGAATATAATGATTACTGATTATTATGAAGCAGAGCATCAACCCATTGTTTTACATAGTTAAATGTGTGTTATAATGAATGTAACCTTTGGTGTTATTAATGTTGATCAGACACCTGGATGAAAGATTGTGGCAGACCTTGGAACAGCTGGCCAGAAGCTGTGAAACAAGGGGTACTTATTTCCATATCAGCGATGAGAGGCTTGTAGCCAATGGTTTTGATATTCGATGTCACAGAGGTTTGTATGGCACAGAGAGATATTGTTTGTTTTCATGAAAGTATTTTTTCCCTCGCTAGTGTGTAGAATAAGGCAAGCAGAGGCAGTATTTCACAAAATGAAGAATATTCTATGCAATTTTTATTCGTCAACTGACGTGAGAAAGAGAATTATCAAGAGCTATATAAATCCTATCCTATTATACGCAAGGGAATTAGCCACTTAGGGAAAAATGATATGGAAGCAGCGGGCATATGGTTCAACAGGCAGATGGTGAGAACACCCTTCATGTATAAAAGAGTAAAGAAAATGCCTTTGAAGAAACACTCACAAAGAGACAATCAGAAAAAGACAATCAAAATGCTTTGTTCATGTCATGAGAAGGAGAAAGCGAGTTCATCATGACTGAGAAAGCTGGAGAGGAAAAGAGGCAGAGAAAGACACAGAGAGAGAAGATGCTGGACAGTCTGACATCATGGCATGGAAGATCATCTGCGTCAGAAATGACCATAGTTATAAATGAATACCAACGCCATGTGGCAATAAAAGTTTTTTAGGGATATCTGTTCTCCCCTCCCCCCAATCCTGCACATGAAAGAGAGACCTACATACACACATACAGAAAAAAATGTAACTGTGATACATTTAACATCTATTTAGACAGAATATCTAAAGAAGCAAGTTATGATACAGACAACATAGACCTTTATAATCATGAGGAAGTACACACATCAGGAGAAGTAATCGATTCACCAACATTAAACGAACTACCATTTGTTGACGACCAGTGCTTGTTCTACCCTGAAGAACATAGACTGCAAGACCACATTAACAGGTTAAACTCAGCATGCAGTAAATACAACATGAAGATCAAAGTAAACAAAACTGAAACAATGCAAGTTAGTAGAATCCCTGCCCCACTACACAAACAGCTGAATGTTCTGCCCTGAATCAAGTTAAGGAGTTTAAATATCTATGAAGTATGATCACAGAAGATGGTAGAATTGACAGAGAAATAGAAACCAGATGTCAGAAAGCAATTGTCACCATTATTAAGACATCCAAGCATAACGCATAACTATGAGTGCAAAGAGACAGATTATTAATAGCATATTCATTCTAACATTAAGCTATTAGTGCCAAACATGGACACTGTATCTAAAGCCCATATGCGCAAAATCACCACCTGCGAGATGAGGTGCCTGAGAAAAGCAGCCAACCTAACCATACGAAATCGAGTGAATAATGAAACTATCTGTCAAATTGTGAGATCGACACCTTGTACTAGATTCATCGAGAAACAGCAGATCAAGTGGTTTGACCATCTTGTTAGAATGCAGCAAGATCAAATACCATCACAAGCACTACATTTCAGAAGATAAGCTACAAGAGCAAGAGGACAGCCGCAGAAAACATGGATCGACAACATTAAAGACAACGCCTTCATGGCATGACAATAGCCAGTGGCAGCCAACGTGCACTGGATTGCAAATTATTCCTCCCCACAACGCTTAACGGCAGAAGTGGTTATGATGATGATGATGATGATTATACATTCTTACAAAGAATAAGACACAGAAGAAACCTTTGACAGACTTTAGAACTATCATAAGTCGTAGGCTTAAAACAGAAATCTTGTCAATGGCTATGCTATCATGGGAAGCCCCATTGTTGCTGCCACACAGTGGTGGCTAGAACTACTGCCCGTCAATCCAGTGGTCATAAGTTCTAATCCCTATTGAAGTGTGCTGGGCACAAAAGATTACTGGCATGAGACTGACTTCACCATTGCAAGCTGATTGTTCTCTAACTAAGTTGAGTTGAGTCAAGAAATGACGTCACAGCACTCGGGCATTCCCATGTGTGCTCCCTCCTCATCTTTAGCAGCCAGCGCAGAGTCCCAATACTGATGGTACCGGTCACAATCTGGTTATATGTTTGTCTTGCCTTTCCTCTGAGTGTAGTGAGCCGGCCAGACTATCTGGTTACACCAAGGTGCCTCATTCTCTCCAGGCCGTAATAATCTTGTTTCTCTACTGATTCTCTTGTTCTGAAATAAATATTGAGCTAGCGCCCCATGCCTTAAGATATGAAAAGAGGTCTTTTTTTTTAACTTGCTGGATCATAGGAAGAGTGTACGCCTGTGTGATTATATAATCAGTTTTTTTTTCCTGTTAACACTGTTCGTTAATGCTGTTTAATGCAGAACCTGATGGCAAATTGAAGGCTGAACTTGTAGGGATGTGTGATCTCATTCCTGCCTATAGGATCAATGATTTAAGTGAAGTTTTGGAAATAATCTCTCACAATCCACAAGTGACCTTGGGAGATGCTCGACCGATCAAAGTTCTCTATTATTTACAGGTAAGTAAAGTAAAAGTAAAAGACCCTTTTCCACACCTTAAGGCATATAGGGCTAGACCTATATTTTTTAGACCATTCGGCACAAGATGGGTGATGTGGTCAGTATCACGCCGGCTGCCTTCACTTTCCAGGGACTGCACCCAGTACCCACTTAAGGCTGGGTCGACCTGGGAGCCAAGGTCATTTTTGAAAAAAGTCCGGCTCTGCCAGGAAGCGAACCCACGACCTTCTGATCCGCAGCGAGCGTCTAGCCGCTCGGCCACGGCGACTCCTTTATTTACAGGTAGATAAGCATTATCTTATGAGAAGTATGGGGTTTCCAGCACATTTGGTGCATGCATTTAATTGAAAATCTTTATCAAGAACAACAAGCAGCCATCAGAGCAGCTGGTGAAACAGATTGGTTCGAGTGAGGCAGGGGTGCATTCTATCACCACACCTATTATAGAAAATATAATGAGAAGTGTAAAAAATGACCAGACTTGTGACAGTTAATGATCCGCTCAAAATGGTTCCAACCCTATTTCGCAACTTCGCTATGCAGACGACACAGTCCTCCTTTCGAACAGCGTAAAGTGGAATAGAAAATTTAAATTGTCTGTCCAAAAGCACAGTAAAGATCAAAATCTGTCCTTGCATTTAAAGAAAACAAAAATAATGTCCAAAGATAAAACTGGCTGTTGCCCAAAAATAACAATTAATAGTGAATAAATTGAAAATGTCACAAACTTGAATATCTAGGCTCTTTATAGCAATGGAGACTGACAGAAATTAAAAGAAGGATGGCCATAGCAATGCAAGTCTATGGCTAAGCACCAGCAAGAAAATCAAAATTAGAATTTTGAGAGCATGCATCTTCCCTGTAGCAACATATGGATGTGAGTCATGTACTATCTCCCAGTCCCAGAAAGAGAATAGGGGCTTTTGAGTTGAAATGCTATAGAAAGATTCTCAGAATACCTTGGACAAAAAAGAGGAGAAATACTGACATCTTGAAAGATCTGAACATCAAGGAAGATTGGCTAATAAACAGCATCCTGTCTCAGAAGCTAAAATATTTTGGTCATAAAAAGTGCCACGACGGATTGGAAACAATTATAGCAGAAGGCATGGTACCAGGAAGGAGGGGCAGGAACCGACCAACACGAAGATGGGCACGGGATATAAGTGACTCCTTGAGTATGAAAGTATATGAGGCGGGAGAGCTGGCGAGAGACCGAGTTTCTTTTAGACACTATGATGAGAGCGACGTTCTGCAAAGGACCTGCTACATGATGATGAGCATTATCTACAGCTTATGTAACTTTCATAGACATCATCATCAGGTCTTTTACAGAACATCACTCTCTCCATGGAACACCTGAAAGTCGCATTTCCTAGCCAGTTCTTCAGCATTATGTGCTTTCATAGTCACAGCATCTTCAGCCTTGTATCCACATTTGCTGAGGTCTGCCTCTGCCCTGTTTCTGGAAACTACACTCTAAACTACCTCATCTTTTGGGACAGGATGCTGTTTTTGAACTAGCTCTTCTTCTTAGTTCATGACACTCTTCAGAAATTTCTATCTAAACCACAACACAATGCAGCCCTTTTAAAAAGGTGAACACAGAAGAAGAAGAAGAAATCCCAAAAGGCAGTAACTGACATTCGTTGGCATTAACATGTTAAAAAAAAAAAAAACGTGAATATAAATGTATATTAGTGCAGCTGATCCAGTGAATGTATCTCTTCCAGGGTGAGGTGTATCGCATGTTGCAGGGAACTCTACACAAGACTTCAGTTACTGGCATTCAGGAAATGATATGTCAGCTTACAGACACCCCAGGCTCGGTGTGTTGTATCCACCAGAAACCAGTGTTTCATGAACTCTTTGATTTGAGTGAATTTAATGGTTTACAGACTGTGGAAGTTCAACAAGAAGTTAGTGGCAGCTCCTCACAATCTGTGAATACCCAAGATCACTGATGATGATGATTGTGAAGTTATTGTCATTACCAATTTTTCCTGTGTGCCTTTGTTCATGTCTTCCAGGTCGACCCAGCCTCAAATGGGTGTCAGGTAAAGTCTTGGAAAGTAAAAGCGGCAGGTGGGATACTGCATGTTGTGAGGAACCTTACACAAGACTTTAGTAACAAGCATTCAGGGAATGACCTGTCAGTTTACAGATGCTCCAGGCTCGGCATGTTGTATCCCCTACACAAGACTTTAGTAACAAGCATTCAGGGAATGACCTGTCAGTTTACAGATGCTCCAGGCTCGGCATGTTGTATCCACCTGAAGTCTTTTCTTTCATGAACTCTTTATCACCCATTGAATGTGGATTGGTTTACAAAAAATATGTTAAAGTTAGTTGTGTATTCTTTACAGGACGCTGCACAACCCACCCCAGCATTTCTTGGCTGTTGCGATTTTTCCGGGCAAGTTTAAGTCTAGTCATTTGCTATGTCTTCTGGACAGTCGGCTTCTCGATACCACCTTCGAAACCAACACAAAGCACAGGGCCTGCAGCTCGGATCGAACCCTGTACCCTGGCATTACGAAGCACATTCGCAAAACCTAAGCCCTAGACGCCTACTTACAAAAATATGAGTATCAATTTATGCTTAATATTTTCCGTGTGGGTTCCAGGGCCCCATTGTGGGGGGGGGGGGGGGGTGTTAGCCCCCCCCCCCCCCCCTCACCAAATGAACATGTCATAAAAGCAAACTAATTAATGGGTGTTTCCTTTGACATCAAAGTACCTGTGCTTGAGAGTCAAGAAAGTCTGCTTGCATGTAAGCTAGATCCGCAAAACGGATGGGCACACAAAACTCACGTTCTGGAACAAATCCAAAGTTTAGAAGTGGACAAACAACCAGGACTTCTCACTTCAGTATACAACGGGTAAATGCACAAAAGAAGAGAAGATATGCCTGATATGCTATTGATGTGAAAAGTGTCCTTCACTTTGTTGTTCATGCAGGCAAAATAAATGTGTGCTTTTGTTTATGTAAGCAAAACAACTGATGATTTCATGCAGGCAAAATAAATGTGTGCTTTTGTTTATGTAAGCAAAACAACTGATGATTTCATGCAGGCAAAATAAATGTGTGCTTTTGTTTATGTAAGCAAAACAACTGATGATTTCATGCAGGCAAAATAAATGTGTGCTTTTGTTTATGTAAGCAAAACAACTGATGATTTCATGCAGGCAAAATAAATGTGTGCTTTTGTTTATGTAAGCAAAACAACTGATGATTTCATGCAGGCAAAATAAATGTGTGCTTTTGTTTATGTAAGCAAAAACAACTGATGATTTCATGCAGGCAAAATAAATGTGTGCTTTTGTTTATGTAAGCAAAACAACTGATGATTTCATGCAGGCAAAATAAATGTGTGCTTTTGTTTATGTAAGCAAAACAACTGATGATTTCATGCAGGCAAAATAAATGTGTGCTTTTGTTTATGTAAGCAAAACAACTGATGATTTCATGCAGGCAAAATAAATGTGTGCTTTTGTTTATGTAAGCAAAACAACTGATGATTTCATGCAGGCAAAATCTAAAGATAATGTAACTTGTTTGTTCAGAATTGTGTTGCTGGAATATATTGAAATGGAACAATAAGGGGAGGTTAGAAATAAAATATGCTGTATGTGCAATTATCTTGCATACATGCAGTGATCTAGTAGAGCCCATAGAATCATCAAAATTAACTTTTGCCATCAGGCCTCATTGGGAGGAATAATTATGGACCAGCGCTTGATGGTTGGAATTGACTGTTGTCATTCTTTGTGAATGCAATTTCTGTATGGACATCTGTTTGCTTCTTAGCACCCTCTTCCTATTGTATCAGATCTTCTGGCGATGCTGCTGTCTAACAGTATACCCAGACCATTTGATCTTCGGCTTCTAAGTGTTTCTTTTAAACAGTGTATTCTGTCTGATAGTGTAATTTCTCATTCAGTTGTGGATGGTTAAGTTGGCAGCTTTCCTAACACTCTGGGGTAAATGTCACTGTAGCTATGGAGTTGTGTGCAGATGGCGACACAGGCGGTCAGTTTCTTATCAGCAGTCCATACTGCAGGCAGAGCACTTATGGTTTATAACCGTGTGCGATGACGCTGGTTCACATCTCCCGACTTTACCTTTTACCTTTCTGTTTATTTCATGCATTGAAAATATATTGGTTTGCAAACAGTTATTTAGGACACAGAGTGGGCGCTATTTGTCAAGGTGTGCGTGCACAGGTGACAAGTTTATCTTTGAGGGGAAATTCATTTGCATAATGCACTTAAAACTATAATAACACATTTCAATTGAACAGACCAACGTCCCCATTTGGGTGCTGAGGCCCTATTGGAGTAGAGGAAAGAGGGTCTGGTAAATAAACCCACTGCCTCCTGACAAGCATTATATATATATATAAAAAAAAAAAAAACCAACTAGGGGTTTGCTGAAATCTGATGTGCTGGGCTTGAAAGACTAGTTGTAAAAAAACTACAACTTGCCAACTGATTCCCCCCCCCCCCCCTGCCCCCTTTTTTTAAAAAGAGTGAATGAGGAAGAAGAAGAGACTAAATTGTCTTAGTATCTTTTTTTTTTGTTTGTTTGAGATGAGATGAGACTGTTGAGACTGCTTTATTCTTCAAGTTGTTCTTCTCTGGGACTTTAGAGATTCCCCTTCAGCTTGCTTTGTGTTGGCATAAAATCCACACTTGACTGATATGCCTAACTATTATTACCACTTTGATAACATCATATAGCAGAATCTCACTCGGAAAAGACTGTCTCTTGTTCATTCCCTGACTCTTCACGCCTAAGGTACTTTCATGTTTAAAGTGTCTTTAATGTAATGAGTCTAACTTCATTCTGATCAACCCCTGCCTCTTCAAGGAAAAAATGTCTTTCTGAACCACTCTGGCATTATGGTTAAACTGTTTCAGTTTCTGAGGCATGCATATTTTGGTGAATGTTAAAATAATGTATAATATCTATACTTTGCTACCTGATGTACTGTAAGAATTTTTTTGTGTGGGTAACATGTTGCAATTTAATGATTCTGGTATGGTCATTGGTCAGTTTCTTCATTGCTTACTGTGATTTTGTTGTTGATTTGTCTTAAGATACAATTTCCTTTTTTTTAAATTTTGGATTTTGTTGTTGTTGGTAAAGTCACAACAAAAAGATTATTTTGAGATACAGTGTTTTTTGACAGTAGAACAGATAGTATCCACACCCTGAGAAATTAGTTCAGCAGAAAATTAACAGGTTCTGCATGATATTCGATGCAGGGGGGATAAGATGATATAGTGCAGACCTTTTAAGAGAACTCACTGGGGCCCCAAGAAATTCCTCTTAGCCAGATAAGATTTCAAGGAGGAAAAATAGCGGGTGATAAAACATTTTGTCCTTCATAACAGAAAATCGCCACATCCAAGATCACCTTTAGCAGGTTGCACCGTATACTGTATTTTTCTGTGTATAAGGTAATCACAATTTAGCCCAAAATTGAGAAATAAATATTTTAAATTCTTGTTTTAAGAGACCCCCAGTTTTAAACTTATAAAATTGGGAAAACATGCAGTTCTTTGATCGGGGAACTGGAAACTGATAAAAGGGATAGAGTACATGTAGGAATATCCTTAGTGAAATGAGTTGATTCTAGAAACCATTTTTTATATAGACAGGATAATCTTCTTAGCATTTATTATTGGGAGGGGGGGGGGGGGTGTGTGTGTGAGAGGATGACTGTCATCCGAGTTCTGGAATTGGATTGTCAGTGACTACGAATAAATCAAAAATGTCACATGCCTTTTAAAATTTTGGATCAATTCATAACTGGCCGTAATCAAATAATCAAACTGATACTGGTACCATTGGCATTACAACTCTTTGCTGGCTGATGAGGATGGAGCGCTTATAGGAATTCCCAGAATGCTTTGATGTTAGCCTGAAGCATGACAGTCTACAAAACTCATCTGAACCCCATCAATCTACTTAATCTCACCTGAGCCATTTCAGTCTACTTATTGGACCAGATGAGCATTCTGGTCTACAAATGACACCAGTGGCACCATTTTAATATTTCTGTATAATTCTTCTTCTTCTTCTTCTTTGCGTTCACCAGCTGTAAACTCTGGCGGAAGGTTCTGGTTGCTCGTCCACTATTGAACTGCAGTCCTGCTCCAGAACCTGAATGTTGCATGTGCATCAGTTTTACAGATCTCATTCTCTTGAATACAGACTGTTGGTTTCTTGCCTCTCCGGCAGATGCACTCCGACTTCAAAGAAAGCTCCCTAATTAGTCGACTCTTACGACATCCTTTTGGGGAGGCGGTGGGTCTATTCTTGTTTTCCCCACAATGGGGCCCCGGAACCCACACGGGGGACATCTGTATAATTAATTACTAGTGTCTGTCAAAAGTATAGTTATCAGATAAAAGATCACATGCTCAGACAGTCAAAATATATCTGCTACGATTTGTATTTCTAGATATATTAAACCATCACTCAATGCACCTTTATCTCTGAGGTGATGAAGTGAAAGTTGTATCATTACGTATGGAGCCAAGGTGAACATTACATTCTGTCTCAACTTGAAAAAGTGCTCCTGAGACAGTTGAATTGATGAGATAAGTTTATGAGGATCAATGTTTATCTCGTTCATGAGGTGGTATTCACAAATCAAAACTGGTGTGGAAATGATTCACAATGAAACTGGGCTGTGACATGAAATTTATGTTTGTACAGTGACAAGTCTGAGTACGAATTTGTAAAACTGATGTCCAACCGTCAGGATAATGGCAGATAAATCTGATGTTAAATTTGGGTAAACCCCATCCATTCAGCATTGTTTCCACACACAAAAAATAGTCAATATAACTATACTGGTCCTAAACACTGCACAGGCACAAACAGAACCAATGCTGTTTACTTTATTAGATTTGTCGGGGACAGGCCAATGCAGCAATGCCAGCTTAGCAC